GCAGCAGCCAGTGTAGTTTTGGGCCCTGGAGAGACAAAGGAGGTCACCATTGTTCTGGGATGGTACTTCCCAGACAAAGACTTCTTTGGACTGCCTGTGGGTAGGTTTCAGAATATACACTGTCACATTATGTCAGTAACAAAGGACAGGAATTATACATATACAACTATTTTACTCATGCAGGTAATTTCTATACCAATCTATTCAAGGACTCAGTTGATGTAGTTCAGAAGCTAGGCAGTGACCTTAGCACTACAGTATCAGATATAGCCAACCTCCATACTCCCTTTTTGAAATCTTCTTTACCCACAACACTCCAAGACATGCTCATCAACAGTCTCTCTCATGTGAGGTGAGCTGAAAATATGCATTGTACATGTAGCTCACGCATACCAGTTTTATAACCATTATTGTTTATACTGCACATGTACAGATCTGCTTTCTGGTTGAATGATGGCAGATGGAGGCAGTGGGAAGCATATGACTGTGTGAATATAGGTACACAAGTGAATTGATACTTGCTTGCTTATTCAATACAATCCTAACTACTTTCAGATTCTGTCCACAATGATGGAGAACGCCATATTCCCTACATCTTTATATTTCCAAACAGCACCATCAGCAAATTATATGCCTGGGCAAAATATCAAGCATCAAATGGCATGATTCATGAACAGTTACGTTGTGGATGCATGACAATGTCAGATCAATCACCAGTGAGGATTTTGTACTGTTATGTATTACTCCAATCTGTCTTGTTATATAAAAATATTTATGCTTATTTTAATTGTGCTTTTAATCATATAGAGAGTTGAATATGGTTGTGGTCGAACAATGTCTGATGTATCCTCCATGTTCATTGTATATCTGCTGGAGCTCCTCACCTGGCATGATGACCCGTACTCACAACAGGTTGTTAGAGACTTGTATAATGCCTCAAAGAAAGCTGCACAGTGGCACATGTCTGTTAGCACTGCTGAAGGCATTCCAATTCACATGGTGGACACATATGATGTACTTCGTTTAGAATCCTACCCCTATGACACATACAGTGGTAGTTTCCACTTACTGGCTATGAAAGCTGCAGAAACTTTGGCTTATGCAATGGGTATGTGTATAAATCACATTTAAGTCTACTATGTACATCTAGTGTAGTAAACATTGTACACATGCCAAACAATTTAAATAACAAAATTAAAAATTGCACAAACACACATAACAGCAATTAACATACCATAAAAAGCATCACTGTGTACATAGGGGATATTGAATTTGCTGAGACATGCCAGAAGGCCTTCATTACTGGACAACAGGCACTGGACAGACTCTTGTGGAATGAGACAGCAAGATACTACAATGCATACACCCTACAAACTGAGACTGATGGGATAGATAAAGCTGACACAGATCCACTGGGAGCCATTATGACTGACACATTTTATTCACAGGTTTGAATTAAGAAAAAAAGAATCTACATATACTATAATATCCTTAAAGAATGTTGAACAAATCCTTCATTCCAACTCTAATTTTCTGTAGATATCTTGTTACCTTGATCACTTTATATTGTACACATTAGGTGTTGGCCTATTCACTTGGACTAGGTACCTTGGTTCAGAATGAGACACGTCTCAAGCTACACATGAAAGCAGAACTAGAGCACAATGACTCACCATATGGAATGCTAGTCCTAACAGGTATACACTTGAAAGCACTGACAAATTAGTAATGATCCTATGAGTGCCTTTTATTGTCAAAAATTTACTGCAATAAATGTTAAGAACCAACAGTTGACAAACTTTTCATTGTTCCTCTCCACAGGTCGACATCCTTACCCAGGTCCTTATACTGACAATGCTGTATGGATGATGGGCAATCCTAACTGGGCCACCATTAACATGCACCTTGGAGAGGTATATGTATATTCTTGCATTATATCCATTGTGACGACATAAGTAATTAACATTGTTTTTCCCTCTTGATCACACATAGGATGTCAACCAGGCTTTGCAAGTAGGAATAAAGGCAATGGAACACTGGCGTTCTGTAATCCATGATGAGTGGAATGTAGTTGGTATCATGGGTGGTCTGGGATATGGTGCGGATGGTATGCCTTACATCACCAGCCATTATGGCTACTTCATGTCCTCATGGCACATGGTGATGGCACTGTCTGGTCAGAAAGCTAACATGTCAGAAAAATCACTAACATTTGACCCAAAACTTGACTCTCTCACTGACCCTCCATTTGTATTACCTGTACTGCTACCTGGAGTCTGGGGCTATCTCCAAAACAGCCGATACCAGGTGGGCACTGATTCAAAGGTGTCTTATTCACTCGTCCTGCACTTTGGTTCCCTGGAGCTATCACATCTCTCAGTAGCTGATTGTATTCATCCTGATAGTTCCATCAACATTGTAACACAACAGGCCACATCATGGAGCTGCTCCTATACTTAAACAGTTAATTAAACCTGTAGTATGCGGGCTGATAGATATGCTACGCTGTTTCATATTTTACTATTGCACTTTTTAATT